ATTCTGGGAGTTGAAGTCCACCCATCTTCAAGCTGCCAAGGTTGAGAAACACTGCTCTAGATGATCTCCAAGGCTTATGTTCTATCATTCTGTGAGAATTATGTATTGTCTGCATTGCTGATCCTCACATCACGTTCTCACATCATGAGCGGCACAGCCTAGGAACTTTTGCACGATTTGAGGCTGCCCTTGGACAGTACTGAAAGAAGGTGGAGGGGGGAGATTTCAACCCCAATGCAGCTAAGGATGACTTCAGCCTCTCTCACGCCTGGACTGCAGACAAGGCAAAGGCAACGCTCACGGGGACTCGGCAGAAGAAAGACCTTGCCAGGACGCGTTTGGGCAGGGTTAGCCACAAGGAGAGACACAACCCTTTGCTGCACTTCCAGCGCTTCCAGCTGGGTGTGAAGTGGGAAATCCCCCAGTGAACTTCTCAGGAGGGATTTCATTCCAGATGGGCATGGCCCCTAAGGAACATATGACAGAATAAGTCTGAACTAGCGGTGCAAAGCAGATGGAGGTCCTTCCTCTGATCTGGAAAGGACATCCTTGGCCATCCTTCCATGAGTAGGTGGAGATTCCTCCTGGCCTGAAGCTGGCTGTGCCTTCTCCTGCCTCCACTTCCCCGTCACTGCAATGCCCACGCCTTCCTCCAAGGAAGTCCACGGGGCCTGACTGACCCATGGCTGCAGGGGACAAAGCCTATCCAGTTCTACCCGTCTCAAGGGGCAGAAGGATGGGGACCCCGATCATCTAAGGACAACTTAAGGCTGATGCATTCCTCAGCTGGGGATGGGATGAAGGCGATGTCGTGGAACACAGCAGATAAAAGATGTTTCCAGAGTGGGTTTGTGCTGTGGTTAGATGCAAGGGGTACATTGCCCTGAGAAGTCCATAATGCTGGGAAAGTGGAAGGAAAGAGAAGAGGAGGATGACCAGCAGCAAGGGGGACGGACTCAGTGACAGCGGTGATGGGGGTACCATTGGAAGACCTGAAGGACCAGGTTGGGGACAGATCATCATGGAGAAAATCTATCCATGGGGATGCTGGGAATCAACACTGACTTGATGGTACATAATCAATCAATCAATCAATCAATCAATCAATCAATCAGTTCATCACCCATGTAGCCCTGAGAATGTCTGAGAACCCAAGGGATTTCATACTGCCTTTTCAGTGTACTGTGGAAATCCTGAAACAAAAATGGGTACATTCCATAACCGATCCAATCATCTTAAAACGCTGGGAACACTGATAGCCAAATCGCACCCAGTGGATGAAGACTGCAAAGGCTGGAGAATGAAAAAGGACGTCCTGCCTGCAGTTGGAAGAAGAGCCTCTGCGTGGACCAGCAGAAACACACCCTCAGGTGGAAGGTAAGAACTGGACCCGCACATAAACACTCCTTTGGCACTCACAGATCCAATGTTCCCGGACTCGGAGCCTTTCGGATATACTGAATTACGACAGTCGTAGCACCGTGTTCATGCCACGACAATGTCACAGACCTCATGATGTTATTTGCCCAATGACATCATAAAGGCTGTGATGTCACCCCCCCATGATGGCAACCTAACATTGCTCCACTAGTTCCCGGAGTTCAGAGCGCATGAAACTGAGAAAGCTGGTTTTCACAGCATGTTTAACCTGGTTACCAAATTAATCCATACAATGCAATGGTGCTGGGTGCAATCATGGGCTGGGTTTGCCCGAGAAACTAGAGGAAAACTGGTTTTGTGCATTACAAGAAGTGCAGCCACTGGGCCTTTAATGGGAGCAGCCAGACACATGGCGTGAACACCCCACCAACTCCAAATTTGGTTTTCTTCTATTGCCCCAACGGCATCTTTTGCACCCCAGCGCGATTGGGGAAACCCTGAAGCACACAGAACTAGAGAAAAGTTCGAATGACCTGTGACAGACGTCCAGGAGAAGCCGCAGTGATGTCATGTATGACCATATCATGATGCGGGATGTCACTCCCCCCCCTCCCCGTGAATGCCCAAGGAAGGGACCTCAGCGCAGCCCCGTGAGAATCGAGCCCAGAGCGAGACAGCAGCCTGTTAAAAAGTCGGGGCAAGAGACCAAAAGAGAGCAAGGAAGGGGTTGCTGGATGGGTTGGACTACAGTTCCCATTGTCCCCAATGAGCACAGTAGCCAGAGGTGAGCTCCAGCACATGGCTAGTATGAAGGACGGGGAGTTGCCTCCAAATGTCCCCAGTGGGGTCGCTCTTCCCTCAGCAGACCGGTAGTCCTGCCCAAACGCTGCCGAACCCCCTCCCGGAATAAAGGTTTGATGGGAGTGGGAGGAATCTTCCCGGAGGGGCTACGATCTCGGGGAGTTAGGCCAAAGTTCAACAGGAAAAATTTTCCAAAGCCAAGGAGGAAATGAAACTCTTGACATCAGTGTTTGTTAAGTCCTGCTTTCTCTAAAGGATGCCAGTAAGGAATTTGGGGAGCTGAGCTCCGGGAGATCCAGAGGCAAGATCCCTCTGAGATTCCTTTGAGCAGGAGAGGGAAACAGCCAGCCACTTCCATTATTCCCTCCCGTGCCAACCCCTGCTATTTCTGGGTAGAGTGCTCCTGGAAAAGGAGGCTCCGTTTAGCGAGGAGAGCTACAACCAGACAGACTTTTCCTTCTCTTTCCAAAAGGCTATCCGTGCTGGTGATCACCCCCATCTTTCACACCCGCGAGATGCACACAGGAACTGCGTGAAACGCACCACTTCCTCGGATATACCCCTCGGGAAGCTGCAGAAAGCCTCCAGGGGGTGCCAACCTGGGGAAAGTCTAATCCGTGAAACTGATACCCTTTCAAATCGGGTGCCGAAGGATTTCTGGCTGCAGGGCTATTGCCTTCCGCGTAAAAGATGGAGACGCAAGGAGCAGGCAGCAAAAGGCAAGGAGAAACGTAAAGCAAAATACAGAAGCAATTGCAAGGGAAGAGCAGAGAAGACACGGGGTCCCTGCACAGCTCTCCAGCTTCTCAGGGTCTAGTGAAACAGAGGTAAACATTAACCTTGGCGACAAGCAAGCCGCAAGGCTGCACAGAGCCATAAACCGACCCAGCGGGAATCACCCAGAGGGGCGATGCCCACTTAAACCCCCACCAATCAAGGCAGGCAGTGGCCACTCATTCCGGCCTGCAAGCCCAATGCTTCTGCCAGGGGTCAAAGGGAGACCCTCGCCATCACGGAAGGGGCTGCCCCTGCCCCCCGGAAGGCCACCGTGCCCTTTGCAGGGCCGGGCTGTCTCCCTGGACCGGCGACTCCCCATTTGCTGCACCAATAAACACGCTGTACTTACTCGAGTCCGCTGGGCTCCTTCCCCAGGAACGCTTTGTCCTGGAGCAGAACAAATTTGGAACTGGCTCCAGGCATGAGCAAACTCTAAGCCCGGCCACAAGGAAAGGCGAAGGGGGGCGGGGGGACAGAGGGAGAGAGAAAGGGGGGCTTATCCTGAGTCCAGGAATTCCAAACTTCCACCAGGCCTGAGTCACCTCCCCTCCCCTTCCAATAGATCAGGGCATGGGTAAACATTTCCAAATATGGAGATTATAACTAGAAAAGGATGTCAGAAAATTCACCCTTCTCCAGGGCTTGGGAGGCGGAATTCCCCGGCGTGGGGGTCAATGATTAACTTGCAGCTGCACACCACGGGCGCATCGGCTCTGGGAAGGCCCCCGCCTCCCACAAAAGCCTGCCGAGCCCCCTTGCAAGGGGGTGCCGACGCCCCCGTCCCCATGCACCACCCGGGCTCTGAAAGCGACGCCCTCACCCGCAGAGCCATGCAATGGCACAAGCTGCATCCGCGCCCACGGCAACTGTAGACCCTACCTGATCCGATCCTGCAACGCTCTCCAATTTGGCTCGGTTCACACAACCAGGTCAGTGAAAGACCCAGGAGGCACCCTACCCTAAGCTCGCTCAGTGTTAACCTCGGTTCGCTCTTTGTGGCAAAGCACGTTGCGCAAATCTTCGAGCCGATGACTCAACGCCCTGGGCAAACAGGAAACGGATCGCTTGCGAGAGCCGGTCAAACCTGTCACGCCGATGTGGCCGTCCCCTGCCCAACGCAGGTTGAATTCAAACGGGTGCATTGTTCTCAAAGTAGCTCCCTTCTCACAATCAGCAAAGCGTTGGGCAAACCCTTTGCAGCCATCTGCTTCTCGAGCGGGGAAGATGGGTCCTGCAGCTGAAAATTAGGAAGACGCCAGATTGCAGAAAGCTGTTCCTGTTGGGGAACGGCGTTTCCCAAATTCTCAGAATGCTTTGTTTAAAACGGGGCCCTGACAGACGTTGAGTGAACAGCCTGACCAAATGCGCCAGCCCAACATGTGGCCACGTCAAGCTGCCTTGCATTGACTCTTGATCCATATACGGCAGTGTTTCTCAACCTTGGCCACTTGAAGAGGTGTGGACTTCAACTCCCAGAATCCCCCAGCCAGCCATGCTGGCTGGGGAATTCTGAGAGT